ATATATATATATTTCACCAGAAGTGAATGTTTACACACACTTTGAATAATTATAAAGGCATTGTTTATTAAAATACATTTCATTTTCTAAAATTGACCAGTCAGCTGTTAAAGTGTGTGTATACCTTTTGGGGGGACACTGTATAGATTCTCATTTCTGGAACTGCAAGAATATTACATTTTCGAACATGGCCAAGGTGTACCAAAAGCACAGACATAGGCTACTACCAGACACGCTTTATTTTCAGAAAAGAATGAGAATTCGTAAGAAATAAGGGAGACGTTTCACTCTCCCTCTAGCGAGTAAGCAAGGACCCGCTGGACCTGTGTTTCGGTTTTGAATGTAGGAAAGGAAGGGCCTTAACACCCCCATGGCGCTTCTTGAAAGCCCCTGACTCCAATCCCCCCTTCCAAACGCCGGCTCTCCTGGGAAGGGGGAAATGCAGCCCAGATCGCGATTTACCATCACAGAGCAGATGAATGAATGAAGTGGGGGATGGGGCGGCGAGAGGCCACGCTGTTGCCTATTCAGCCGCAGAAAATAAGACGACTTACCAAGAACGCTTCCATCCCGGCCAAATGTCGATTCCCGCTATCATTCGCTGCCTCAGTCTGTGCGAGAAATCAATTTCCACTCAACCTTCCCCTCCTCTCGCGGGGTCCAGAGGAAGACAGAGCGGAGGGCAAAAGACTCCCCAGGTGCTCTTTATGCCCATCCTGGTTCCCAGGGTGAGCCCAGGGAGGGAGGGAGAGAGGGATGGTCCCCCAGGAGGGTCCGGGGTGGCCAGGGGGGCCCCTTTCACAGCCCAAACACAAATCCCCCCACGGGAGGACCAGCTCCAGCACCCTCAGTCCCACAAGCAATGCCGTAAGGGATGTAGGTTTCAAAGAGGAAAGGAAAGGAAGGTCTCGAATAGAAAAGGAGAGGGAGAGAGACACTTGGGATTTGGGTTTGGAGAAGGGATGGAGCCGTGGGGAGGGGAGGGGAGCAGGAATCAGGATCTTACCCCACCGAGCTGGCCGGAGAGCGTTCCTGCAGGGTGGGGAGCGGGGATGCGAAAATGGCCAAAGAATGCGTCCTGCCTCCCAGCCATTCTCAGGGCGCTCTCCCCCGGTGACCGTGCGGGGATCGGAGGGGGCGCGGGAGGCTCACCTCGCCGCCTGCCCCCTGCTCCCCGGGGGACGGGCGCCAGGACCTCCAAAGCTCTCGCTTCTCAATCCATCTGGTGCTGAGGTTTCAGATGCGAGTCAATGGCTCTGAGTCTCGGGCTGCAGGGTTCGCTGTGAAATCAGGACCTCGGAGAGCTCCCGCCGCCTGCGCTGCAGCCCCTGCGCTTCTATCCAGGTCCCCTTGCCTGAGCCTTGGGCGCAGCGCCCCCGACTGCACTCGGCCTCAGCGGCATCTTCAGCTCGTTGACACCCCCCTCCCCCCAAATGCTGAGGATCTGGTCATGCTAAAGTGATCACTGGCTCATGTGGGGGGGTAACAGGGAGGAGGGGGAGAGTGGCGGTGCTGGGCTTCCAGATACTACGCTTCCCACAGTTGCTGGGTCTGGGAGGGTTCAAGGGAAATCCGAGGGAAATGTGCTGGTGGTGGAAGACGATTAATCGTAATCATGAGGCTCCCGACGCAGGTAACTCTTAGAGCCCTGAGAGAGGGGAGCTCAGAGCAGGATTTCGGAGGCAGTGCCCTCTCGCATCCTCATTGGATCCTTCCCAGCAGCCTCAGTCACTCTTGCTGCTCTCTCTACCCGGATGCCTACAGCCTGGCTCACTAGTCCTCTCTCTAGCGCCTTGTCTTCAGCACAGCTTTTGACTCCTCTTTCCTAGATTTGCCTGTATTCCAGCGCCTGTTCTCTGGGGTTGCGGGGCTTCTGTTTTTCTCCACTCTGTGGGGAGGTGGAGTCTGTGAATTTTCATTTTGGCTGCCTAAAGATCATCCCCTTAGAAGCCCCCAAACTAAAAGGCACCTCCTCCACATTTTGCTCCCCTTCCTTGGGGGTTCTTGGCTCTCCGGGGTAACGGGTTTTGACTTGGTTACATGCCACCGGGAAGCGCTGATTATTTCAAAGTTCCACCAGCCTGCAGCTCGTCACCGTACCTTGCTTTGGGAGATCATGGAATGTCTGTGTGAATTCTGGAGATATTTGTTTTCCCTGTCATCTG